AGGGTCAGGAAACTACATAGGCACACAGTGCCTTGCATATGCTAGATCTTTAACAATTAGCTGAGGTACTAGATTTTTTTTTTTTTTAAATGGTGCTAGGGATTGAATCCAGGCCTCCTGCATGCACGATAAGAGCTTTACCGCTGAGCCACACCCCCAGCCCAGGAGGTACTGTATTAAAATGAAGACTCCAGGATTAAGGTCCAAAGGCCTGGCTGGGGGTGGTGGCCAAACCAGCTCAGAGTGGCTCCCGGGAAATAGCAGGGGCACCTGGCCAACAGATGATGCCAGTGAGTGCTGTAATGACCATGAAGCCTGCTTTCCATAATGCAAAAACATCAGAATAATTGTAGTGCACATTTGTAATCCCAGCCCTTGGGAGGCTGAGACAGGAGGAGCGGCTTGAGTTCCAAGCCAGACTGGGTTACTGAGGGAGACCCTGTCTCAAAAAAAAAAAAAAAAAAAAAGAAAAAGAAAAGAAAAGAAAAGAAAAAAGAAAGAAAAGAAATTCCAAGTTTGTCAGTTTTTTGTTCTGGGGGGGGGTGCCTTTGGGATGAAAATTCTTTCTGGTTTTATTTTAAAATTTTTATTTTATTGTAAAACTTTTTAAATTTTTTATTTTGAGAAAGGTGCTAGGGATGGAGCCCAAGGCTTCACGCATCCTGAGCGTGAGCTCTAGCACTGAGCCGTAACCTCCCCCCACCCCCACCCCCACCCCCTGGGAATTATTTCCCACCGAATCTAAAGGTTCAGCAAAAGCGGGTAGGGGCGGGGGCTCCCCGGAGGAACCCGGTTGTCAGGTGTAGGCGTCCGGTCGGGCTCTCCTTGGCGCTGCAGGGTGAGGGGCTGCAGGGTGAGGGGCTGCAGGGTGAGGGGCCGGTGTGCTCTGCACTGGAATTCAGCGCCAGACGGAGCCGCTCAGAGGCACCGCGGCTTTCGGGTCCCCCAGGGATGCTGCAGATGGGAGGCAGACGTCAGGGTGACAGGTGTGCCCTGCTATGGAAACTACATAGGCACCCGGCAGTCTGGAGGAACGGGGTTCCCAGGGTGACTCAGCGTGGGGGAGGGGTGGGCCTGCCCCCCACTCCACCCCCTCCCCCCACCCCCCACCCTCGGCCTGGAGGGCTGTGGGCGGGGCCTCGCAGGGAGCAGGAGCGGGCACCGACCACTGGGCGTGGAGCTGAAGCTCCCAGACATCTGTCTCCTCCCTTTTTGCGCACAATTTAAGTCACCTTTTCCTCTCTTCTGGGGCGGGTTAGGGTTCAGTTTTGTTCTGTTTTGAGACAGGGTCTCACTCTGTAGTTCAGATTGGCCCTGCACTTCATTTATGTAGCCCAGGCTGGCTTCAAACTCCCAGTGACCCTCCTGCGTCAGCCTCCCCAGTGCCGAGATTATAGGCTCGCCCCACCAAGCCGGGCTTCCTTCCGGGGTGTTTTGAAGCAGTGCGAGTATCTGCAAGTGCGTTTGTAGATCTTCTACTGAAAGGCACAACAGAACTGCCAAGTATTACTGTCAACTCTGTAAATATTTTAAGGACAACAGGAGAAGCACCCTGGTGAGGCATTTCAGCTTCTGCTGTTCCTCAGAGGACCGGTGTACAAGGGGAAGGAGGGAAGCCGATCCAGAGACAGAAAGAAAGCGGTCAGCTGGGACGCCACCCCACTTTGCTGCCCAGGAGGCAGAGGTGCCCCCAACCCCCAGGTCGAAGCTGCACAGAGAGGCTGCATGAGGGACAGCTGACCGGCAGGATGGTGCAAGTCCAAGCCCGGCCTTCAAGGTGAAGGCAAGCTGCCCAGGGCACCGCTGTCCCTCCAGGGCACAGGCTCTGGTGACAGGTCAGCCAAATCGGAGGCAATGACAGCAGCTAGTGAGGCTGGAATGGGCTAGGGCTGGGAGGGAGGGACAAGAGGGGACAGGCTGGTACTTGTCCAGGCGGGAACTTTTCACTACCTGAGGGCCTTTGTGTTTGCCAGGAAGAGTAACCAGCTGGCTGAATTCAGTCCAGGTTCTTAACTGTTCCTTCAAAAAAACTGAGAGTTGGAAGTTAATAACTAGCAGTTGAATATCAACAAAGCTGAGAGAGACAACAGCTACCTTTTCTCATCTAACTTCCAAAATGACTCTGTGAGGTACATCTGCTGCCCCAGTTTTACAGATGAAGCTCAGAGAGGTACATGACTTGCTCAGGTTGCTGCAACTAAAAAGAGACAAGAGCCAGGCACAGCGGCACACACCTATAATCTCAATCTCAGCACTGGGGAGGCTGAGGCAGGAGGATCACCGCAAGTCCAAGGCCACCCTGGACTTGATGAAACCCTATTTCAAAAAAAAGGAAAGAAAAAAAGAAGGAAAATTGACAAGAAAGAAAGCAAGAATTTTATCTCTAAAGCTGTGTTTTCAGTACAATGCTATATTCTTGCTGCAGATGAAAAAGCCTCGTGGGGCTGGGAGTGGAGCTCACTGGTTTAACATATGCCTAGCATGTGTGTGTGGGGACCAGGGGTACCCACCGGGGCTCTGAGATCCTGTTCTCTTGGTTATTATACATGGGAGCAGCTGCCACTAGGAGAGAAAGCTGCTCTTTCCCACTGTGGCTCTGCGTGGGGCCTATGCTACGAACAAACCCCCGCTTTAAAATAGTTTTTTTTTGTTTGTTTGTTTCTGGTGCTGGGGACCGATCCCTAGGCCTTGCAGCCCTAAGTGCCCAGGCCAGAAGTCCTCTGAAGTCCCAGAACTGTGCTGGCCCATCCTGGCCCTGTTCCACACAGCAGGGAAAGCACGCTGTGAAAATCTCAGCAGCCCACTGCCTCCCAGGTGGGGTCAGCCGCTTCCCTGCTGGGTGCCACCTCCCCAGCTTCTGCCAAGTCCACTGCAATCCTCTGGCTGCCACACCTGCCTGGCACGCTCAGCGCCTCTGCACTTCCCACCTTTCTACAGTAGCTGGCTGCTGGCTGCTGGCTGTCCTCCAGAGCCTCTGAAGCCTCGGGTCTAGTGTCACTGCCCCTCCTGACCCAAAGGGGGGTCTCCCCACCCCCAGCCTCCCATGCCACCAGTGTGCAGGTGGTGTGTGCCCTTCACCCTTGATCAACCGTAGTGCACCCTCCGCCACGGCGGGATCCCAAGGACTACACGTGCATGTTTTGAGACAGGATCTTGCTAAGTCGCCCAGGCTGGCCTCAAACTCAGCGACCCTCCTGCCTCCGCCTCCTGAGTAGTTGGAACTACAGGCATGCACTGCCACATGTGGCTAGAAGTCTGTAGAATGAGTGTGGGTTCACGTGAGTGGCAGCTTTGTTCATTCAACATCACAACTGGGGATGACGCTAACGCATGAGTTCCAACAGCATACCAGGCCCGGAGCTGGCAGCTGTGAGCTTCCTCTGTGTGCTTCTTGTCAAGACAGTTGCTTAGGGAACGTGTTCACCTAAGTCCCCTGCAGGACACAAACAGCATTCTTTGAAAGGCAACAAATAGCAATCAGAAATTTTCCCTTTTTTTTTTTTTGTCGTCTTTTTCCTTTTTACTGGTACCGGGGATCGAACTCACGACTGCCTGCTTGCAAGGCAGGCGCTTATGCCGCTGAGCTAAATCCCCAGCCCCTTTCCCTTGTATTTTAATTAAAAGTATTTGACCCAGTGTAATGGCGCACATCTGTAATCCCAGCACTCGGGAGGCTGAGGCAGGAGGATCGCTGTAATCACCACCCCATTTGGTTCCAGTGGCAATGTGGCCCCAACCAAACCCTGCATCTTTCCTAGGAATCCCTGAGGCACCTCTCCCTCACCAGCCAGATCTGCTCTCTAGGGTAGAACACATCTTGCCCTGGCCCTTCCTCATTTCTGGTCCACAAGTTCTGCACCCCCCTCTTGGCCCTGGGCTCCCGCTTGTGAGCCCCGCCCGGGTCACACCTGCCCACAGAGGCAGCTCCTCAGCCCAGCTGGGGAAGCACCCATCCCTCACCGGGCCCTCAGCCTCGCTCACCCAGCTGCTGAGGCAGAAACGGGAGCTCAGATGTAGTTGGAAACCCAGCATTTCCGACCTCAGTGTTTGGTATCTGTCTCACTGATGGTTTGTCAATGGGATTGCTTGCTTATGGCCTGGAGCACCATTAACTTTGGATTTAATATTTTCTTATATAATACACTTTTGACATGATTATGTCATATTTTTTCAACGAAACTATGGGTACCATAAAGTACAAAAACTCTCTTTTGTATTGTGTAGCTGCCGCAACATTTAATATAGCCTATGTATTCAGGAAATTCAGCAAATTCAGCAAATATGTAATACATGAAAATACAGGAACTTAAAATCTGAACAAAAGAAATAAAGCTTTGTGAATAAGGAGGGGAAGAAGGGCTGAGGGAGGGAGAAGTTAAAAAGAGGAATCAAGATCTATAATGTACAGGTACAAATTCCCTATGTTGAATGTGATCATTACGTATATCTAAAATGTACCAATAAACTTAATACAAACAGGAAAGAAATAAAATTCACAGGACTTGGGAGGCCGAGACAGGGAGATCACTACAAGTTCCGGGCCAGCCTGGGCTACAAAGTGAGTTCAAGGTCAGTCTGAATTGTAGGAGTGAGACCTTGTCTAAAAAAAAAAAAAAATTTGGGGGCTGGGGATTTAGCTCAGCAGCATAAGCGCCTGCCTTGCAAGCAGGCAGTCCTGGGTTTGATTCCCGGTACCGATAAAAAGGAAAAAGACAAAAAAAAAAAAAAAGTTTAAAGAGAAAATTTCCATTTGCAAAGACTAGAACATCCTTATGTTTAAACTGCCTAGTAAGTTACTCTTTGCAAAATAAATCTTAGTTGAGTTTAGCTCCAGGACAGCTGTCTCTGAAATATGTTATTTTCCATGTTCAGCACCATTGTAACTGAGAAGGCACTTGTTTAATTAAATGACCTTTTGCTTCTGGTTGTTCTCATCTGAACTGCTACACCCCCTCCCTCCAGATCCTACAGAGGCAGAAACAAACCACATTAGCTCCTCATAATGAAAAAGTAGAATTCCATTTTATTAAGACGAAATCCCGTGAGATAATTTAGTGTTGCACTGGGGCCCGCGCACATGATTCTCCTATGTGACGGGTTTCAGCCCACTCATATGGTTGTCTGTGTGGCACACCTGCTCTGGAGGAGGCCGAGGGAAGGTGGAGGCATCACCCAGTTTCGGCATAGAGAAGATTCTGCACAGCTGGCCATGTCTGCAATGAGGTTTATTCTGATTGCCTTTTGTCACATTCTTCCTCCTCGAATTCAACCAGTCGAGAGTGTCTGTCAGCCTGGGAGCCCTCCGTGTAGAGCACCTTCTTTATTGTACCGGCCTGGGGAGCCCTGATGGTATGCTGCAGAGACACAAGCAGGGTCACCACTGAGCACCTGCCACGTCAGGATGGCAGAGCGAGGAGGGGGCCGACGGTTCGGGTGTCTCCTCGGCTCTCTGCCTCCCGGACTTCCTTTCTTTCTTTTATACACCTCAGCCCACGGTAACACATTCATGGTCTGGTCAGTCACTGCTCGGACACTACAGTGACCCATGCAAGGGTGGACCCCTCTCCCCAGCAGCTGGCGTGGATCGTGAGGGCAGTGATGGAGCTGGGCAGAGCGTGGGTAGATTGAGAAGCTCTCACCTTCTGTGATTTCCAACCACCCCCAGCCCTAAGCAACTAATTTAATGTGATCCAGGTTTTCACACCAATACTGATGCTGGGCATCCCGAGTTCAGCTATAGAAAACCAAGAGTTACATTTGGTGAATGCTAATTTCATAATTGGAATATAGCAGGCACAGCTTCACAACACTGCAATGAAAATGTATTTAGAGACAGAATCATCTAGGGGTTTTTAAAATAGGTTCTCACAACACAGCCCAGGCTGGCCTCAAACTCTTGCGAATCCTCCTGCTTCAGCTCCTTCTGATGACAGCTTGATGCTGCCAATCTGCAGCTCTTAATATTTAAAACAGTACTAACTTCCAGTGTAAGCAAAGGAACAATTTGATATGATAATTCTCAAGGTTTACTGCTCAGCTCAGCCCATGATTTCACGCACCTCCATCTTCATGGCGATCATAACCATCAGAGAATCTCCAGCTTTTACTTTGTCTCCAGCTTTCACAAATACCTAGAGGTTCAGAGGAAAGTGAAAATAATTAAAGACACAAAGAGAGGTTCTCGGTGGTCTGCAGAGCCAGAACACAGACGCTCCAAGCAGAAGCTGCGTCTCTGTGGTTGTCATATGCCAAAGCTAAGGGTATGGGTGCGAGCCCAAGACCCGGGGTCAATCTGACACTGCAGGCGACACCTGCAGGCCCAGGCCTGCTTGGCTGAGTCTCTTCTTCCCAAGCCATCTGGTCTGCTTAAATCAGAAGAATCCACTTCCTAGGTCTCCTGTCTTTTTCATGAATATACAAGCAAGACAATTCACTGACAGAGGACTAACAGACACAAATGTACCCTTCCAGGCACAGGTCTGGACTGGTTTTCTTGTATGTTTGCTTGTTTTGAGACAGGCTTTTGCTGTGCAGTTCAGGCTGGCTTTGAACCCACTATGTAGCCCAAGCTGGCCTTGAACTTTCAGTAATCCTCCCGCCTCAGCCTCCTGAGTGCTGGGATTACAGGCATGTGCCATCATGCCTGACTTGACTGGTTTTCTAGTTTGGAGGTTATCTAGGATAGTGTTTCAAGTCTTCAGGGCCCTAGGTAGTCAAGTGTGTAGACAATCCTCATGTGAAAGAATTAAATTTATCAGCAATCCCAGAAAAATACTTTTATCTATATATTGGTACCAGGGATCAAACTCACAACCTTGTGCTTGCCAGGCAGGCACTTATGCTGCTGAGCTATATCCCCAGCCATTTTTACATGTGTAAATGGGCCTCTGGGAGATGGCAAGGAATTAGTGTCTTCATAAAAGAGGACCAAACGGCATGGTGGTGCATGACTCTAATCCCAGAACTCAGGAGGCTGAGACAGGAGGACTGAAGCGGGTTCGAGGCCAGTCTGTGCTACATAGTGAGCTCAACCCCAGCCTGAATTATAGTGAAACACTGTCTCAAACAAAACAAAACAAAAATTTAACATTAAAAACTACTTAGGGAGCTGGGTGTGGTGCGCATGCCTGTACTCTCAGCACTCAGGAGGCTGAGGCAGGAAGACTGCTGTAACTGTGAGATCAGCCTGTACTACACAGCAAGACTGTGTCTCAAAAACAAACAAAACAAAACCAGGCAATTTGGACTGTTTGCACCTTTGCATGTGTGCGCATGTGGGATGGGAATTGAACCCAGGCCCTCATGCATACTAAGCACGTGCTATACTCCGGGCACTATGTTATTTGTGCTTTGATGAATATTTTCACCTTCAGAACTAGCAGATGGGGGGCCAGGGCAGGGAGGGAGGAAGGGGAGTGTAAAGAGGATTAAAATGTGTTATGCACCTGAACCAACACTGTAGTATGAATGTAACCATATCCTGCAAGCAAGTCCTAATAAAAATTAAAATAAAAAACACTTAGGAAAGAACCCAGAAACCTTGGCTTAGGGGTACAGCCCAGTGGCAGAGCACACCTGACCACGCACAGGCTCCTGGGGTCAATCTCCAGCACCAAACCCAAAAAACAGTCACCTTTACCACAAGTGAGATGAGTAGCTACTTTTGCTGGAGACAGACTGAGATTTGGAACTCGAATCCATAATGGATCCCTTTGTTTTCCTGAAATGGATGCTGTCCAGCGAGCCAGAGTTGGAGAGGACGGAGGACACGCGTATGTGACGGAGTGTGACCACACGCTCTGCACCTGCCGCCTGGTTACCTTTTCGATGGTTCCGGTCATAGGCGCTATGGTGCCTCCCTGAGGTCCTTCTGCGCTCGCTGGGAACAGGTACCTGGGCACGGGCACCTCAACCTCAACACTTCCTTCCTGAAGAAGAAACCACACTGAAAATGGAATCGAACCCCTGCCCCTGAATTCTTAGTGTCACACTTGAGATCTTCCTGCTTTTCAAGCTAATTGTTGACGATAGGCCTCATCAGTACCAGGGTTCTAATCCAGTCTTTTAATACTTGGACGGGGTCTCACTGTTACCACAGGCGGGCCTTGAACTCTCACTCCTCCTACTGCAGCCTCCCGAGTGCTGGGATTGCAGGCAGGTGCCACCGTGCCTCGCTCTCTAATTAGCTTGGCGCAAGTTACTACAGCCCTTCTAAGGAAGTAATACACTAGGCACAGTGGTGCAGGCCTGTGATGCGAGCACTGGGGAGGCTGAGGCAGGAGGATCACATGAGTTTGAGGACAGCCTGGGCGATGCAGTGAGTTCAAGGAGAGCTTGGACTACACAAGGCCCCGTCTCAAAAAAAGGGGGGTTGTGGTGTAACAGTACACATGCCTTACAGGGGAGAAAAGACCTGAAGAAGAAACTAACTGCGGGTAACAGACTGCCAATGTGAAGAAGCCATTCTTAGTCCTCTCCACTATCAAGTGCTCGGCTATGCATGGAGTTTAAGCTACGCCTCTGACGCCACTGGTCTTCACAACTCTGTGAGGAAGGGAGCTAGTGTTCGTCTCACAGATGGGGGAAACTGAGGTCCAGACCATTACCCTGCTCTGTAAGAGACAGAGCCAGGACCAGAACCAAAGCAGCTTCAGGGTTCAGAACTTACTGTTTGGTGGCTGGTCAGGGTACTGAGCCTCGCCTGCCCAGCACCGCACCTGCAGGACCACCCCCAAAGCCGGGCGGCCAGTGCTCAGCCCCCCCCAACCCCTGCCCCCCTACAAGCCCATCCCCCTTCCGCCGGCCCCTCCCACAGCGGGATGCCTGGTCCCCATCTTGGCCGGGGGCTCCACCTCCCTAAGTCCCCAGGAAGGGGTGGGTTTGCTGCCCGGAGTCTCAAAATCAAAACCAAAGGTGGGCGCCTAACGGTGAGAACCGGCGCGAACAGGAGGAGGGTGCATGGAGAACTGGGGGCGGCAGGAACCCTCGGCGAGGCCGCTCCCTTCCACCCCCGCGAGCAGAGCGGTCACCGTGGAAAACAGGTGGATGGTGCTGCCCAGGGTCACCAGCTTCGCGCTTCTGACCACGCCGTTCACGGAGCTGCTCAGGCGGGCGCAGTCTCCCTCCTGGTCAAGAGCCCCGAGCACCCGGAAGGTCTCGCCCTCAATCTGAAAACGAAAACAGAGATGTAAGTAACTCGCCACGCTCCACACTCAACTGCCACTGTCAGTAGCTTCAAAGGGTAACACATGCATCACACCTTTCAAAATGCCACCTAGGAATCAATCAGATAATTGAAAGAAAAAATAGATAACCTCCCCACAGCAGCACAACGCTACAGATGAAGTCCATTTGAGAACAGAAAGAAACCAGACGCACGCCTGTAATCTCAGAATTAGGGAGACTGAGGCAGGAGGATCACCAGGAGTTCAACATCAACCTGGGCTCCAGAGTGAGTCTGAGGCCAGCCTGAGCTACATAGTGAATTCAAAGCCAGCCTGGACTACAGCCTGCAACCTTGTCTCAAAACAAACAAAAAACTGGATAGAATAGCAATTACAATGTGTAATAAAAACCGAAATTGAAATGAGCAAAACTATTAACGTTTATTTGGGTATATTACAGGTTAGTCTTTTTTTTTTTTTTTTTGGTATCAGGGATCGAACTCCAGACCTTGCATTTGCCAAGAAGGCACTTACACTGCTGAGCTAAACCCCGGCCTTTTGGTTTTTTTGAGACAGTTTTGCTATGCAGTTCAGGCTGGTCATGAACTCACTCTGTAACCCATGCTGGCCTCGAATTGCAGTGCTCCTCCTGCCTCAGCCTCCGGGGTGCTGGGATTACAGGCGTGAGCCACCACACCCAGCAGCACTCATTTTTGAGTGCCTGAGATTAAGTGAAATTCAGTTTTTCTTTATCAGTGTCAGTAAGGTATAGACCAATTCATGAGCTTCATTATGATTTACGGAGACATATTAGATGGAGACTCACCATGATTCTCTCACTCAAGAGACCACCAGCCAATAAACACATTTCACGCTTAACAGTTCAAGGAAGTTGACAAAAGGACCTAAGATCTTTCTGTTTTAAATATTTTCTCAGCTGGGCATGGTGGTGCCCACCTGAAATCCCAGCAGTCAAGAGGCTGAGACAGAAAGATCACTGTAAGTTTGAGCCCTGCTGGGCTACATAGTGAGTTCAAGGCCAGCCTGAATTACAAAGAGAGATTCTGTATCAAAAAAAAAAAAAATACATACATACATAGATATTTTCTCATAGCTAGGTGTGGTAGCTCACACCTGTAATCCCAGCACTCTGGGAGGCTGAGGCAGGAAGACTGCAAGTTTGAACCTTTCCTGTGTGTTTTTCTGTCTCAGAAAAGGGGTGGGGTTCCTGGGGTTGTAGCTCAGTAGGGAGGCCCTAGGTTCAGTCTCAAGGAACAAAAACAAAACAAGAAGAAAAAAAGAGTATTTTTTCACATATATACTTTTTTTTTCTTTTTCTTTTTATCGGTACGGGGGATCGAATTCATGACCTGCTTGCAAGGCAGGTGCTTATGCCGCTGAACTAAATCCTCAGCCCCTTCACATATATACTTAAGAAGAAAGTTTCCCTTATACACAGACAATTCTATTTTTCATTTTGAGGCCCCCGATGCCACAGTAAAGTCCTACGGCTGCTCTTTTCAAACATTTTATGAAGGTTCTGGTGAAATGGGTCACACTGCAATATTTAGACAACGGTTCTCATCTGTCCTAAGTTAAATGTGACATTTTAGTCTTCTTTATAAGCTATTAAAACAGCTATTGGAATGTTTGTAAAATTCTTAGGACATACAGGTTAGTTTGCAAATGGTTTTGTTTAAAGAGTCACAAAAGCACATTCTAAATTTGTGGATTTAGGCTCATGAACAGGTGAAGATGAATTAGTCAATTTACTTTAACTTTATCAAGGGACAAGAGAGGGTCCCCTGCTGAGCATCATGGTGGCACACACCTGTGATTCCAGCACTTGGGAAGCTGAGGCAGGAGGATCACCATGAGTCTGAGGCCCACTTGGGCTACATAATCAAATTTAAGGCCAGCATGCACTACATAGCAAGACTGTCTCAAGAAAAAAAAAAAAGGTCCCCAAACCAGAGGCACCAAGATGAACTACAGCTCTCATAAAGTCAATAAATTTCCCATGGCTTTTCTGAACCTCAGAGAGAAAACCAATGTGTCGGTTTCTCGAGTTGAGAAGTCTCATACATATCATTGATAAATCTATTTTGAAATATTTGAAATCTCTTAGCTCACATTAAAAACAATACCTACCCAAAATAATTTATAAAAAAGCCTTGAAGAGACATCTGAATGCATATGTTCCTAGCAACACCGTGCAAAATAGCTAAAAGCTGGAGACAAGACAATGCCCACTGTCAGATGGAGAAAGAAAATATGACACACAGACACACATACGCATACATGTATGCACACTGAAATGTGATTCAGCTTTTTAAAAATTCTGATGCACACTACAATGTGAAAAGAACTTGAAGACATTGTACTAAGTCATAAAAGGACAAATATTGCTTTTCTCCTTATATGAGGTAACTTAGAGAAGTCACATTCATACAAACAGTAGAACGATTATTCTGGGGGCTGCAGAGAAAAGAAAATGAATGAACACGGTGTAATTAGTACAGAATTTCAGTTGTTTTGTTTTGTTTTGTTGAGCCAAGATCTTGCTCTGCAGCTCAGACTGGTCTTGAACTCACCATGTAGCCCAGGCTGGCCTTGAACTCCTGGCAATCCTTCTGCCTCAGCCTCCTGAATGCTGACATTACAAGAGTGAAGAATTTCGGAATTTGTAGCATTACAAAATTTCTGGAGTTGAATAGTGATGGCTGTACAACCATAGAAATGTATTTAATGCCACTGAGATGCACAATCAGAAATTATTACAGTAGTAAGTTTATATTATGTATATTTTACCATAATTAAAAATGTTCTCAGTTAAATTTTGTAATTTGTAAGTATCAATAGGTGTAACTCATAAACAAAAGCTCTTTGAGGCTGGGGGTGCATCTGAATAATTTTTAAAAGTGTTGAGGCCTAAGTACAGTGGCACAGGACTCTAATCCCAGTGACCTGGGAGGCTGAGGCAGGAGGATCACAAATTTGAGGCCAGCGAGGTGTGGTGGTGCACACCTGTGATCCCAGCACTCTGGAGGCTGAGGCAGGAGGACGGCTGAGAGTTCAAGGCCAGCCTAGGCTACACAGTAAAAAGACCCCCGCAGTAGAAGGAAGATTAGATTTATGTTTGACCCCCAATTACTGAGGCCTACCTGCATGCTGTAGGACCCATCGTGGTTGTAAGTCACAGCTATGGCCACATCTTTATGGAAAGGGGAATGGAAGAACAGTTAGAAGGTATTTATTCAGTAACTGAGATGCCAGAATCTCACTTTCAGCTTAAGATGACGAACTATTCATGGAAACATAAACAACATTAACATTTTTTAGCTCCCTGGAAATAGAGGATTTGTTGGTGTTTTGTTTTGTTTGTTTCTCTTTTTCTTAGAAAAGCATCTAACTGGCAGGTTTCAGTAAAGATGAATATCAAAATTTTCTTTTTTAAGGTTGTAGACTATTTTAGAGTCCAACAAAAGGATTGCAGTGTGATAGCAGAAAAGACAATGAATCAACAAAGAGATGCTCTGGTTTAAGACCCAAATCTGCTATTTGATTGCCTCTGGGGTCCTGACCAAGCCACCAGATCTCTGAGCTCCTCCTGCTCCTCCTCCTCCTTGCTCCCCCAACTTTCCCCTTCCCCCTCTTAGTCCTTCTCCTTCTTTGTTATTCAGAACTGAACTCCGGACCTCACTTGCCAAGCAGGTGCTGTGTCACTGAGCTAAATCCCTGGCTCTCTGAGCCTTTATTTACTGGACTATGAAATGGGTATGTGAATGTAATTATAATTATTAAAGGTAAGAGTGCTTTATAAACTGTAACAGGCTACAGAGAAATTATTCTTGTTACATATGGATAAGGAATTTCCTGGAGACTATCCTAGGAATTGGAAACCAGAAGTTTTGTGGAGCTGGGTGAAACAGTGCAGTCTTGTAATCCTAACACTTGGGAGGCTGAGGCAGGAGGGTGACTGAGAGTTCCAGGTGGACCCGGCTACATAACAAGACCCTGTCTCCATAAAAAAACAAACAGACACTTGGTCCTGCTCCCTGAGATCATGAGAGGTTTGTTTTACTGTGCATTCCCATGCCTGTCCCTCTCAGCCCTGGTCACTGCAGCTTAGCAGTTTTCAGAGGCTCACACTAACACTTCTAAACACTCTCCACTCAGACCTGCATTATTTGTGCAGGGTACTGCTAGAAATCTACAGTGAACAGTAACTACACTGGCTTTTTGATTACGTATTTCTTTTTAAACTAAGCCTTTTTTTAATTCCCAAAACACAACTCAGTACTTTAATTGGTGGTCTTGCTGGAGAGCACAGCTGGCTTATCTGAATCAAGCCACCAGGGTCACTCTTCCGTGTAACTCAGGTGCATGAGGCCAGGGATGACCTGCCATTCCCATGCTGGTATTTGGCAGAGAGGAGTCAAGGGTGAGACAGTCCCAGACCCTGGTCTCTTCTGAGGATGAGCTGTCATGTGAGGCATGCATGCACACCTCCGTTGGGCCTGGTGGCACAGCCAGTGCTCCCACAGTAATGGTCACCCAGGCTCAAAGCACGAAACAGCTAAAAAGCTGCAGACCAATAAAAAATATGGGTCTCCCTACGTAGTTCAGGCCAGCCCTGACCTTGTGGCAATCCTCCTGCCTCATCCTCCTGAGTGCTAGGATTACAGGTGTGTACCACCATAGCCCACTCCAGTGTCTGCAGATGAAGGATCTGTTATTGAGTAGGTGTCTGGAGCGATCAAGTAAAGAAGAGTGCACTCTGTTCAGAGAAGAAGGTACAATGATTCGCTGTTCCTGGGTGGGCACATTTTTATAATGACACTGTCATGGCTCACAGACACCTCACCCTTCTGACTGTGCCCGCCTGGCTTCCCACACCCTTCCTGCTTCCCTGCAATAGAAGGGACACAGTCACAGTGTCACAGTGTCACAGACACTGTCCTGCCCATAAATTTACAGACTACCTTCTATTCGGGCTTCAGCCTCCTCTGACCTCGGTAAAAGAAATCAGTCCCTACCTCGAGCCCACTGAAATGGGCTTGCAACAGAAGGCGCCTGCTCCGCGGAAGGGTGGTGGCTGTAGCACACGGGTCGTGTCAGCAAGGGTGTGGAAATGCTCTGCCACCATACGAGCCTCATGGAAGTGACTTCACCTCCTGAGCCTCAGTTTCATCACCCACAGGTGGACAGAGCAGCCCCTGCCCTCATTAAGTTGTTGTGAAGATAAAAATGTGCCTGTGACAAGGCACATGACAAATGACAGCTCCTCAGTGACCCACTTCCACCAGAAATACTGCCTGAGTCACCGGTAATTCCCCTCCCTGACATAGCTTTGGATACTGTTTTTCTTATCTAAAAGTAACACACTCTTAGCCAGGTGTGTGGTGCACACCTGGAATCCCAGCACTCAGGAGGCTGAGGCAGGAAGACTGCTACGGGGTCAAGGCTGTACGATATAAAGAGATCAAGGTCAGCCTGAACTTCATAGTGAGAGGGTACCCCAAAACCACTGGCTGACATTTTAGCATGTATCTTTTTTTCTCTTCTTTCTTTCTTTGTCTCTCTCTCTTTTTTTTTTTTTTGCTATGTATATTTTATGACATCTTTTAAGAATGTTTATAAAACACAGAAGTATAAAGAAAACTAAATCTCATTACTACCCGGGGCCAATCGATTCTAATTTTGGCACAGTCCCCGCCATTGTGCAGGCTGGGCATTTAAAACACTGTGACTGGTCAGGACCAAGCTGAGTCCCCCTCCAGTTCTGTGGATGTATTTCTGTGACTCATATTTTTCTCTTAATAAAATATTACTTACTTCTATTACCATCTCTCAGAGTCAAGTTTCTGGTGTAACACATGTTCAGTCTTCTCCCGCTGCTGAATGAAAATGGAGAGACTGGATCTAGGAAAAAATTTTAAATTCAACAACAAATTTACAAATATCAAGGTTACTAAATTTATACAAAAGACAACATAAAACACAGCTCCTGTGCTGCAGCTCACATAATTTTTCTGTGTTTTTGTTTTAAATTTAAGTTAGAGACTTTCATCAATATCTCAGAAAACTGCAAGAGAAAAATCCAGGCTTCTCTGGAAAAATCCCAACATTTCGCAACCTAAACTCTCACCCTCTGGCAGCGTGGCCTGCACAGCACCTTGCTGGCTTTGACGAGGCAAACACATCCCAGGTCATCGAAACCTTCCCTACTCGCTGGTCTCCATCCGCCTGGCCTCTTTTTCTCCTCTCTATCCTTGGTCCAACCTTAGAGGCTGCTGGGTGAAGTCCAGGGCCACCACAGAGCTGAACTGAAGACGTTTATTTTAAGTTTATCTCGGTGCTAGTTATAAATTTGGAAAGAAAGGTAAGAGTGTGAGGATCCTGCATTCTAAAATTGTTACGTTCAGCCTCAGGAAAACCACAGGCAGGATGCATTGGATGCATTCTTGCTTAATGTGAGAGGGAAAAAATGGGAATTTAACAAAATCACATTAAGGCAGATGAACTAGATTTTTTAAAAATTCTGATTAGGGGCTGGAGGTTTAGCTCAGCGGCATAAGCGCCTGCCTTGCAAGCAGGCAGTCGTGAGTTCGATTCTTGGTACCGATATAAAAAAGACAAAAAAAAAAAAAAAAAATTCTGATTGCTTCAAAGGTCAGAGTTAACCTAAGTAAATATTATGGAGCCAGTGAGAAAGAGGCCGGCTTTTGGGTTTATTCAGATGGAAGAGCTGTCCAAACAGAGCTGACTGCAGCTGCAGGAAGCTGTCCCAGGGGTCCCCTTCTTCTGGAGTGTTAGGAAGAGACTGAGGCGGGGAGCAAGCACAGGCCCAGCACAGTTCTGCCTGTGCCCAGATTCCATGACACCGAGGAGAACCCAAGTCCCCAAGGAGACAGGAAAGAGGAAAGGAAGAGGAATTCACCCCCAAATCATCCACCCCCAAACACCCCAGTGTTCTGTCTTGGCCTTGGCAGGTTGCTGCAGGTAGAGAAGACTCCACACAGGATGCCCCGGAGAGAACAGAGAAGTCACAGCATCAGCAAGCTACGTGGGGAGAGCTGACTTCTGCAACGCCAGGGCATCAGTCGTGTGTGGACACAGTGAGAGCCGCGAAGGGCTCCCTCCCCTCCACGCCACGCAGTGCGCCTGCAGGTTCCCTGGCAAACCTGGGGAAAAGCGCGTGCAGGCCGATTCGTGACCCAGTCCGTACCTTGTGTCTCAAGTGTGAAAGCCTCGGTGGCAGCCTTCTCCCTGAGGATGAGGCCAAGTGCAGCCTGGCACAGATACTCGCTGGCCACCGCCCTCCTGCTGGGCAGCAGCTCCTCGTGGTGCTGGGCAATGAAATCGGTGTGCACAGCCCCAGCGGCAAAGGCCGGGTGTGCGGCCAGGTGGAGCAGGAAGTCAACATTGGTGTGCAGGCCGACAATCTAGAAAAACCACGTATTCAGAAAAGCGCTGCTCTTCTTTTCTAAGCATTTTCTACTCTGGATAACTCTTAGGAAAAAGAAAAAACCTGCTAGGGTACCATGTGGGGGGGCCACTAAATCCATGCTATCTGTATAACACAACTACAGTTTAGTACGATGAAAGGATTCAGAAAGCGTAGCAGGTAGTGTGGAGACATCTGACTTAGGAAAGTGGGAAGAACTAATTATATACATCATTTTTAAAGAGGATCTCTATGTAGCCAGGCCGGCCTTGAACTCACTGTGTAGCCAGGCTGGCCTCAATCTCACAGCGTCCTCCTGCCTCAGCCCACTGACTGCTGGAGTTTTGGCATGTGCTACCATACTGTCCCTTCATTCATTTAATAGCCATTTACTGAGCACTTTTTAGGGGTCAGGCTCTGGTCCAGGCCCTGGTGGCAGAGAGGAATGAAGTAGATGAAGTCTCTCCCCTCTCAGGACTCACATTCCAGGGAGACAGGTAACAAGCACCTTCTAGAAGCAAGCATCTAACTAACATAATGTCACATGCCACGAAGGACACTCATGCTGGCTCAGGGCTCAGAGGAAAGCATGGGGCCCTATGTTAAAGGACGCAGTCTGAGGAGTGAGCAGGGCTGCAAGCCTGTGATGATACAGGATAAAAGCATCCTGGGGTAGAGAGGACAGGCATCCGGGTCCATGCCAGGGACACCTGAGGAATGGCAAGGGGCCAGTGTGGCTAGAGCCACTGAGAGCAGGCTTAATCATATGAATAACACATACCAACTTTAATACCATGTGCTAACAAATTCTTCTACAAAGCTAAATCAATGTGGTAAGGGATTTTCTGCACCATGGGAATTAATCTGTTGCAGAAAAACAAATAATTATAACCTGGCATGGTGGTGCACGCCCGTAAACTCAGCACACAGGAGGCTGAGGCAGGAGGATTGTTGTGAAGTTTGACACCAACCTGGGCTACAAAGTGAGCTCAAGGCCAGCCTGAATTGCATAGTGAGACCCTGCCTCAAAAAAGACAAAAACAAAACAAAAGAAAAGAAAAAAAAAAAAAGGGAAGAAAAACAGCTGTAAAGCAAACAAAGTGGAACATAATTATTTTCCTTGGCTGAAAATTTACCAGAGTGGAGGCAACACTCATGTCACTGGCCTTATTTATAGAACAATTAGACTTCACTAAAATGTAACACTGACACTAATAAGTTTTACTTCTGTGATCTTTCTTTCCTAACTAAAATCAAGAAGTTCTCAAACCCTACTCTGACCCAAGGGAAATCCCCCATGTGAACTTATTGTTTGTGACATCCACTCATTCGGTAGGTAAGTGCCGCTAAGACCAAGACTCTACAAGGTGAAAGCACGACCTCTGATGCTGACCAAAGACATCCGGGTCACCGACATGGCCCCAGGTCACTCACGTTGAACTGACGCAGGCTGTACCTCAGTTTCGTTAGGGCGGCCTGGCGGTCTGCAGCCCACACGACCAGCTTTGCGATCATGGGGTCATAATGGACAGAAATGTCATCTCCTGCAATTGAAAACCACAGTGTCTCTCAAAATTAAAACTCAGATGAACCAAAACAGGACACGTAAGATGTTCTGCTTATGTACATCTCCCACTGAGTTCTCACTTACTCCTGGAAGATAAAATTTCACTATTTTATCTGGGAGGCAACTGAGGCACAGGAAGGCTCAAAACCTTGTCCAGAGAGAAGAAAATAAGATGAATTGTAGGGAACAAACAGGGAGGTCGATGTTTTGCAAATGGGAGGGGGTAGACAGGAAGAGGAGAGGACAGGAAATCAAAAGAAACAGGATGTGCTGGGTGCAAATTCTAACTCCCCACAATGAAGGCAGCCATACACTGCACACATAGACCACTAACAATGGAAGAGAAACTTGTTCAGAGTTAGTGAGGATGTGGCCACCCAAAGACGCCAGCGGCTGACACAGTGAGTGATTCAGTGACATGCAGGCTGGCTAGCCCCTACCCTGACTTCTTTCAACTTTAGTTTCCTTTTTGGAGTGCCAGGCATGGTGGTGCATGCCTGTGATCCCAGCACCTAGGAGGCTGAGGCAGGAGGATCGTGGGGAATTCAAGGCCAGCCTGAACTGCACTGTGATATCCTGTCTCAAAAAGCTAAATAAATAAGCAAATATTTTCCTTATTTGGAAATCAACACAAATGCCTTTTACCCTCTCGCAGAACGCTTCACTTCTACAGTCTGCACACTCCTCTCCTCTCCTTTCATCTCCTCACCCATGAAACTAAAAATCCCACTGTCCAGTAGAGCTGTTGGAGGAGTGATGATGAAGTGCCAAGGGCGTGACTGCAGAGCTGATAAACAGATGGCAGCTCTCGCCACCACCACCACCGTAATTATGGTCCTGGAGAACAAGAATCTGAACCACACAACTGGGGAGAAGAGGTCCAAAGTCAAAGGGCAGGGTGCCTGGTAAGGGACATTGCTCTAGACCTTCTTCCCAATGTTCAAGGGTCCTTTGACCTCTTTGAGCCCCAGGGTGCTCGCCTGTAGACCAGCGGGTTGGAAGACACAGTCCTCCCCATAGGCATCTTATGACCCGAGGGAGAAATGTGACAAGCCACGGTGCCATGTGCAAGCAGTAGACGTCCATGCGGTAGACGTCCTGCGCCAGCAGGTCTGGGTTTACACATGAGAAGGGCTGGGGGTGCCCTGTGGCCTCACTCATCCCTCCCAGGACCCACAGCACACCCTGAAGTCCCTCTCAGCCCTCAGCCCTGCACCCCTGCTCCATTCTCTGAGCACCTCTGGGAAACCCTCTGTGCGCTCTGTCCGTGCACAGGGCCTCCCTCACCACTGCCCTGTCCTTTTTTGTTTCTAATATGCTCTACTGATGAGGGGAAATCTTTTACCAACTATTAAAGCTTGCTCTCATGATGCTCCCAATTTTTAAAATCATGAAATGCCAATACCTCATTTTGATTTCCATTCCGGCGATCAAACTTAGGACCTCACACTTGCCAGGCAGGTCCTTGCTGTTGAGCTGTATCCCTGGCGTCATTTTGACTTCCAAGATGCAGTGTGATCTTCCTCCAACCCCAACTCCAACTGCATCCCAGTCACTCACCCTCCCGACCTCGTCTTCAGCGGTGTCTGTCCTTACAGTCCTTCCAACACACCTTTCACTTTCTCTGTCTCTTTCTCTCTTTCTTTCTTCACTTTCACTGGCTTATAACAGTTGCCTACTTAAATTCACTCCAGACTTTCTCTTAAAAACTAGTCCTGGAGGCAGGGATATAGGTCAGTGGCACAGAGCCTGCCTGACAAGCTCAAGGTCCTGAGTTTGAGTCTTGGTAGAAAGGAAGGAAGGAAGGAAGGAAGGAAGGAAGGAAGGAAGGAAGGAAGGAAGGAAGAAAGGAAAGAAAGAAAGAAAGAAAGAAAGAAAGAAAGAAAGAAAGAAAGAAAGAAAGAAAGGTCAAGACATGTTCAAGTATAAATTGGTTTGTTGTGGTTATGGAAACATGTTTTACCATTCCCCACAAAAATGACCTTAATTGTCCACACTGTGGAAATATGTATTTATATAGATATGTATAGACATATATTTGAGGCAAGGTCTCACTATAAGCTGACCTTGAACTCACTGTGTAGCCAAGGTTGGCCTTGAACACACAGTACCCTGCCTCAGCCTCCCGAGTGCTGGGAGTGAAATCATGTGCCACCACAGCCTGCTTTGGAGGACCCTTATTTCTGATGTGCATATGAAGAAGCCTACAGCAGGAGCTCTTTTCTTTTCAGATATATTACACAAAAATCCTCCACAAAAACAAAAAAAGAAAGAAGAGAAAGAAAGTCCTATACAGAAAAAACCACCTAGAGAAATACCTGTGCATCAGCAACTCTGATTATTAGTGAAGACCACCATTTCATACCCTGAACTATAATAGTTCTTGTACTGTTAGTTTTAAATGCAATGTAATTTTTATTATTGCTTAGCTTATACTGTAGTATGTGTCAAAACAATACTACACTGTTTAAAGTATGAGTTATTCTTTTTTTTTTTTTTTTTGTCTTTTTGCTTTTTATCGGTACCAGGGATCGAACTCATGACTGCCTGCTTGCAAGGCAGGCGCTTATGCTGCTGAGCTAAATCCCCAGCCCCTAAAGTATGAGTTATTCTTTAACAATAACTATTCCAGGAGGAAAATGTTCATGAGAAATCAATTAAATCCTTTATATTACTTTATTATTTATTTATTTTTGGTACTGGAGATCAAATTCACTGCCTCATGCTTGCCAGGCAGGCGCTCAGCCCACTGAGCTAAGTCCCCAGTCCTAGCCCCAGCTACTCAAAAGCAGAGGCAGGAGGATCACGTGACAGTTCCTGACCAGCCTGAGGAGTGCAGTGCCATTCCAATTTCAAGTATTAAAAGTTTAACAAGAGTGAGATGTTTCATTTTATTTTGCTATACCTTGCCGTACCCCAGTTTCAATCCTGGTGGAAAGGTCTGCATGAGGGGTAGAGAGATGAACCAATGGTCCGGCCCTCGGCATAAAGTTATTTTCAGGGTCCTCGGCATAAATTCTAGCCTCAAAGGCGTGGCCCAGCAGAGGAATTTCTTCCTGACTCAAAGGAATCTTCTCTCCCGCTGCAACCTGAGAACAGAAGAATAGCACTTCTCATGAAAACCCACCTTACAGCAACTTGGCTTGGTCAATGGTCTTGCATTTTTCTCTAGAAAATGTACATTTGGATTTTGCTGTGCAGTTAAATAAAAGCTATGACTATATCCATTCACTTGAGTATCAGACAAAACAGAAATAGATTAAACAACCAATACAACTTGAGAGTAGTCTGCTTCCAGTGGGTTTCTAGAGTTTTTAAATGGAGACAGGAAAACTGATGGTTGATCCATAAATATAAAAATCAAGCCAAGCACAGTGGTACACCCCTGTAATGCCAGTGCTCGGGAGGCTGTGGCAGGAGGATCACCAAGAGTTTGTGATGAGCCTGGGTTTCACAAGTGAGTGAACTGCAGGCTACCCTGCACTACACAGAGAGTATCTCAAAAAACCTAAGTAAATAAATAAATAATCAGTGTTTAATATGCTCAAAATCCAAATTTCTTACTGACAAGATATTCTCAGTTTGGCCAGGCGTGGTGGCTCATGCCTGTAATCCCAGCACTCGGGAGGCTGAGGTAGGAGGATTGTTGCGAGTTCAAGACTAGCCTGGGGTACAAAGTGAGCTGAAGGCCAGCCTGAACTGCAGAGCGAGACCCTGTCTCAAAAAGACAAAAAAAAAAAAAAAAAAAAGATATTCTCAGTTTACAACAGTAGCAATGAACTCCCAAGTCAATCTTTTTAAACAATAAATGACCAGTTGGTATTTAGGTCTACGTCCACAGCCAAGGGAACAGCGTCACTGGCCTGAGATGTCCTCCGCCAGGATTTCCACCAGCACGTGAGTGATGAAGCAGAGGGCCAGGGCGTGCGACGATGCTCCAGTTTTATGATGTCCCTGTGCCATCCAGATTAGAAACAGGGCCATTGTTATTGCCACGGCTGCTATAGTCACTCACACTTGGCTCTCACGAAGCAAACACACGGCTCTCATCAACCAGTGCAACCTAGTCAAGGCCACCAGTGGGTGCGCGGTCCCGTTCCTGCCCTCACACACAAACGACATTCCTCGTGTGGAGCTGGTACTCGTACACAACACGTCTCATCCTCCACGGGTACAAAAGTCTAGTCTTTCTCAGTTACTGCTTCAGGAAAAAAAAACACACACACACAAAAACAATCCCTTTTCCCTTCTGGCACTCTTGCCAGAAGTTTCCAAACCCACTATAATTTTTCTAACTCTTAATAGCCTGTATGCCTGGTTTTCATTAGTTCTTAAGGCCATTCAGGCCCAAAAGAATATTTTGGCTCATTAAAACCACTAATCATCCTCCAAAGGGTGAGCAAAACAACAGCATATTATTTGCAAAATCCTGAGAAGACAAAATTATCAAAATAATCAAGGCTTTAGCAACACAGCATGGAAAAAATAGTTTAGATTCATACAAAGAACCAAGGACCTAGCTGGCCGAGGCAATCCATATCTGTAATCCCAGCACTCTGGGAGGCTGAGGCAGAAGGATCATAAATTCAAACCTCATGTGGGCAACTTAGTGAGGTCCTGTCTCGAAACAAAAAATAAAAAAGAGCTAGGGATACTGTTAGGGGCCATGAGCCGCTCCCCAAAGATGGCGCCCGCTTCCTGCTTCCTGGTTCTTGTTGGCCTGTGTTGCCGCGTAATTAACCCGCCAAGAGTGATCATCTGCCTAGCAACAGTCGGTTGTGACCAATTGCTATCCGAGTTCCTGCTATGCTGCGATTGGCTGCTTCTCGCCATATAAACTCATGTATCTCCTCCCAGAGGGAGAGGAGGAAGAAGGCTTGAGGGCGGTGGACCTTGTTAGGTCTGGCTGAGCTGTACGCAATAAAACTTTGAGAACCGACCCCATTATCGTCTCGCCTCTATCACTCATGGCTCCGGTCAGGATACAGGCCAGTGGGACAGCCCTGGGCTTCCTCCCTGTTGCAACAAACAAATAAGACTGAGATTCTGGGGCAGCTGGAGATGAAGCTCAGCTGCTGGAGCACTTGGCTAGCTTGGTCCCCAGTGCTGCAAAAACAACAAACAAAAAATTGTTGCTCATATTTTAAAAAGATGAAGTAAAACCAATTATTTCAATCAGAAAGCAAAAAGAGATGAACTCTAATATATTTCAAGAAATACGCTTCCTGGAACTTCGGCTTACACTCTTCCATGGTCCGCAGTACAAAGCAGTCACAGAGCCATGGCTGGGTTGGCAAATATGGTGAATATTTGTATTAGGAACATCTATTACAGGAAAAGACATTGTCACGAATGCCGCTCAGGATTCACGCCCTCACACGCGTCCTGGCATCCCGGCCGTGCTCTCAGCAGTCCTTTGGTAGCACTGTCATAGTAGCTGCCCTAAGGACGTGAATCAACTCTAAATATTTACCTTTCGTGGTCACTTTGACTTTGGGAATGATCCAGGAGTTGAACGGTGCCAGATCCAGTGAAGAGGTGGCTGACAACACAGCACAGTGTTCTTACTTGACACAAAGTACTGCGCCAGAAGCAAAGAGTGACATAGACACTGCCATGATGGGGACGGAACTACCCTTTTCTTGGTCATCATCTTCTCCTCGTCCTCTTTCTTCTTCTTCTTCCTCCCCTTCCTCCTCCCCCCTACTTCCTCTTCCTCTTCTTTTTTGTTTTTGTTTGTTTTTTGAGGCAGGATCCTGCTGTGTAGTCCAGACCAGCCTTGCATTCACTATGGAGCCCAGGCTGGCCTTAAACCCTCAGTGATCTCTTGTCTCAGCCTCCTAAGTGCTGCAATTATGGCCACGCACCACCAAACTCAGCTGTCTTGGGCTATTTTCTACGCACACTGTTTCTTAAATAACAAGCCTTATAATATTCAGAGTTCACTGTAGCTTTCCTGGGTATAAGCTCAGCTTGCCTGGTTCCATCAAGGTCAAAAATCACAATCAACAGCACCCCTGATGCTGGATTTTGACAGCTAGGCTTTTTTGTACCAGAGCTGGGTGATTTCCATTGAGCACCCCTAACTCCAAGCTCAGGATCACAATCAGAGACCCAAGTTTCATGTCCTGGGATGACATTTCTCAAAAAGCTGGACTCTGACACGGCAGGATTGCACAATGCCCATAAAATGTACTACCTGTGATCCATGATTTATGGCACATTTCAAAACACACCTTCTCTCAACCTTAGCTCACAGCCACAGACCGCACTGAACATGCTGCAACTTGAACGATGGGACTCGGGTTCCGGCACTGAACACGCTGAAACTTCTGACTGGACAGCACCCAGGAGAGCAATCACCACACCCTTGTTTAAATCATACTTTGTGGGAAGCCGCCTATGATGGCGCCCATTTCCTGCTTCCGGGTTCTTCCCGGCCTGAACAAGCCCGCCAAATTGTCATATCTGCCCAGTTACCCGTGACACTAGCCTATCAGCTTGTTAGGCGCGCTTCTCTGTGATTGGATACTGCTTCCCCTTATAAGAGGTTGTTCCTGCCCCCAACGGGCGGAAGAGGAACCAACGTTGAGGGTGGCGGACCTTGTTAGGTCCGGTTCGCTGTACGCAATAAACTTTGAGAGCTGATCCTGCTCGAGTCTGGCCTCCTGTCTCCTGCGGCTCCGGTCATCTGGTGGCCCGTACGGGGATAAAAGACTCAGCGACGTGCCTCTTCGGCCGGGAGGTGCGATTGCTGTCGCCTGCGGTACGACGGAGGACCTGGCCCAATAACAACGGAAGGCCCCGAGCGCCTCTTCTCTTCACCCTGATCAGCTACGTGAGATACAGCGGTTCCCGGGACAGGTGAGTACTGGATCGCCTGGGTTGGGTGGACGCACCTAACAGATTTTGAGCGCCACACGGGTGGACGCCGGTCTTTTTTTTTTCTTTGCATTTGTTTCGCTTTCGCTTCACCATTGTGGGCAACGCTGCTCGCAAACCCCTCGCTGACTCCCTAAGAGTCCTGCTGCGGACCCGAGGCATCTACATAAACCGGGTCACCCTTTCGAGATTTCTGGATCATGTTAATGAAATTGCCCCCTGGTTTTGGCCCACGGGCTCTCTAACCCTCCCGTCATGGGAGAAGTTAGGAGGGGATCTTAGATGCGCCCGAGAAGAGGGACGCTTGGATCCCATGGTTTTACCCCTGTGGGAACTGATTAGGGCTTGTCTGACGGACGAACAAACCCCCGGGCTTTGCTCAGCCCGACAGGCTCTTGACAAAGCTCGATCCGAGTGCTCGGAGGAGCCCGAAGTCACACCTGACTTTGGGCCTCCAGAGAAACACAAGGGCTCCGAAGCTCGCGACCCATGGTCGCCCCCTTCAGGGCGCCAGGCCCCACTGCACCGCCGTGGCCGGAAGAGGAGTTGCTCCCTGGGCTGCCACCTCCACCCGTGGCCGCCAGAGGGCGCCCACAACCTATGGCACTGCCCTGGTTAGAGGGAGAGCTACTTCCCGGATTACCTCCTGCGCCCCCTTCTGGGGGAGGAGGAGGACGTTCCTTCCGTATGTGGTAAATGCTCTCCAAGTTCTGGAGACGGCGGGTCCCATTAAACCCTCTTCAACGGTAGCCTCCATATTCCTAGGTATTCAACATCAGCCATGGAATAGAACCTCAAAAGTGTTCATCTCACATATCAGAGCCCATACTAATTTACCTGGGCCCTTGGCGGAGGGCAATGCCTTGGCAGACTCGGCCACGCGCCCGATATGGGTCTTCACCTTTCCCAACCCTCTGGAAGCAGCCCAAAAATTCCATTCTCAGTTCCAAGTTAATGCCCGCACCCTCATGGCGCGCTTCAACATCACGAGAGCACAAGCACGATGGTATTGCCCAGCTTGTGTGATCTCTTCACCCCAACAATCTATTGGCATTTACCCAAGAGGACTTCGCCCAAATCATATTTGGCAAATGGATGTTACACACATCCCAGAATTCGGAAAACTTAAATATGTTCATGACATTTTGTCAACAAATGGAGGTCACTCTTAAACATGGCATTCCTTACAACCCCCAAGGACAAGGCATCATTGAGCGATCCCATCGGACACTCAAGGGTGTCTTACAAAAACAAAAGGAGGGAATAGGCCATGGCCTAACGCCCAAAGGAAGAATATCATTGGCACTCTTTACCATAAATTTTTTAAACCTTAATCACAATAATCATTCCCCTGCCATGGAACACAATAACCCGTCCCCGGCCGACAAAGGGCTGGTGAGATGGAAAGATGTCCTTACAGGACAATGGATGGGCCTGGATCCAGTGATTAGCTGGACCTGAGGTGCGGTTTGTGTTTTCCCACAGGAACCAGGCTGCGAACCGCTGTGGATCCCGGAAAGATTGACGCGAGCAGTAAACTCCCCACCAGTTCCTGATAAAGCACAGGAGGATAAGCCCGCGGACACAAGTCAACTCGACCCTTCTGGGACCGACGCTCAGCGCCCAAGACCATCTACAAACTAAAATGTCTGGTTTGGAGCTTTTTCTATTCTGTGGGTTCCTATTAATCACCCCTGTCCGCACAAATTTGACCAACACTGTTAAAAATATGACAGCTTGGCTGCAAGACACCTACCTACCTAAGTTTCACAATTTGTCCCTCATAGTCGGTCAGGAACTTGACAATATGGACGGTATCCAACTAGGTCCAGTCAGGGGTTCTCCTGGCCCAACCTGACTACTTGGATCCTGATTGCCGTGGCCATCCTAGTGGGGCTTGTGGTTATTAAATGCTTGTTAGATCGCCTCATACAAACTCAGCAGCAGGTTAAGATCACAGCTATGGCAGCCATGCAAATGGCAGCAGGTGGCCCATCAGGCCAGCAGGCTGCCGCATATCTCCTTCACATTGCAGAACATCAGCTATAAGAGCTGAGTGGGCAAGCCAATGACGGGTAAGACGGGAAAAGCCCTCCCGGTCAACCTAAGACAGGCTCCACTCAGATATACATGGCCTATAAGGCCAGGGGTCCCTCCCGGAGTCAAATTATTGGCATTGAGATGTGAGACCAAGGGTACTGCAGTGCCATCCGCCCCAAAGGTTGGGGGGAAGGCAGGAATGAATGTCTATATGCATCCAGGTTCGGTTCACAAAAGCCTGGCCCTGCGAAAAAATGAACCACTCACCTTGAGCATGGTCCTGGCGCAAGGATATGCACAAAACAGGGTGATGCACAGCAGGGTATAGACCTCTACATTCTCTCATGCCTCGGCCTACAAGGTAGGCCCACTCCTAGGTGTCTAACAGCAACAAGGTCATAGACACCTTGGAGGGACCCACAGACCATCCTATTTTAATAAATAAAAAAGGGGGAGATGTGGGAAGCCGCCTATGATGGCGCCCATTTCCTGCTTCCGGGTTCTTCCTGGCCTGAACCAGCCCGCCAAATTGTCATATCTGCCCAGTTACCCGTGACACTAGCCTATCAGCTTGTTAGGCGCGCTTCTCTGTGATTGGATACTGCTTCCTCTTATAAGAGGCTGTTCCTGCCCCCAACGGGCGGAAGAGGAACCAACGTTGAGGGTGGCGGACCTTGTTAGGTCCGGTTCGCTGTACGCAATAAACTTTGAGAGCTGATCCTGCTCGAGTCTGGCCTCCTGTCTCCCGCGGCTCCGGTCAATACTTCATGTTGATTTCATAAAATACAGGAAACCTGGCATGGCAGGGTCATTGCTTTAAGAGTTTCTAAGCATGGACTCTGAGTGGCTACGATGCATGAACATTTCCCTGGGGGCCAGCAACAGTTTCCAAACCAACACGTCACGAGGATGGAATGGGAGACTATTCCCTGGGCTCCCCGTTCCCCGTTCTGCCTTAGGTGACATCTGTCTGGCCACTAAAGTCTTAATGATGGCACAGCCCCCGGGAATGCTGTGGCCTGAGATGGACCGTGTGGTCAAGACAAGTCTAGGTGCTGGTGGCTCCCCGCTGGCCTGCCTGGTACCTGAAGGAAATGAACGTAAGTGACAAAGCTAGGACTCTGGGTCCCCAGAGTGGCAAGAATGTCACAGCTGCAAATGTCATTTTGCTGCTCAACCTCCCTTTTTCTTGTCTTCATCACTGCCACCTTTCAGGAGTCCAGAGGAGGCTGCCCTGAGATGGGCAAGACTCGACACATACGGGTGCTGAGTTCCCACCGGGAATGTATCTGTTACGTGCCACAACCACGTACTGTTAAAGACGACCTTTAACAGCAGAAACGTCCTCACCCTGAGCTGCCACTCCACCAGGTCGGTCCCCGTGACCATCTCAGTGACAGGGTGCTCCACCTGCAGTCTCGTGTTCATCTCCATGAAGTAGAAGTTGTGCTGTGAATCCATAATAAACTCCACCGTGCCTGGGAGACACAATACAAGAATCATGCATTATCCATAAGTAGACTCATAGCAAACCAAGATCTCCTGTGATGTAGCTCACTGGGCATCATGGCTGCCACTGCTTAATCATAAACATTTTATATTTCACCAGAAACCACCTCACATTTTACAGTGGCAAGTGAGTCTAAGTTGAAAATAGGGCTCTAGCTGGGTTGCAGGTAGTACACACCTGCAACCCCAGCATTTGAGAGGCTGAGGCAGGAGGATGCTCATGAATTCAAGGCCAGCCTGGACTACACAGTAAGTTTAACGCCAGAGTCAGCTACAGAGCAAGACCCTGTCTTGAAAAAATGGGCTCGGCGTGAAATGTTAAAAGAAGTTCTTCAGAGAGAAGGAAAATGGTACAGGCCAGAAGCTGTATACACGTAAGAAGAGGATAAGAGAGTGAATAGGGGATGATAAAATAAATGTTAATTCTCTTATTTTTCATCGATTTAATAGATAATTTTATTCAAAATAATATGAGCAATGACTTTAATTATATATGGGTATAGATTTATGTTTATGTATAAATATAATCTATAATTATAATAATAGAAGGGACAAGAAGACATCAGGGATACTATACTATTATTATATTTTATTATTATTATTATTATAAGTTTGTGAGAGTCTGAGGCAGGAAGATCATGAGCTCTGAGCAGCCTGTGCAACTTAGCAAGATTCTGCCTCAAAAACTGAACAACAAAAAACAATCAGACTTGAAAAGTGAGGGCAAGACCTGAAAAGCGACTTCATAAAGGAGATTTGCAGCTGGCAGGTGAGTAGCACGATTTAACATCACAGAGTAGCAGGGAAGTACAAGTTAAAACAGCCAGGTGGCCACTCCTCAAAACCCCAAGCCTGACACTTGAACGCAGGGGTCGGGCTGGCAGGAAGCCCTGGGTCACTGCTACGCAGTAGGAACACACTGGCAGTCTCTTTGAAAGATGCCTTGGCAGTTTCTTCTGGAACTAAACATACTGTCACTGTGTGATCTGACAATTCTGCTCCTTGGGATTCACCCAAATGAAGAAAATAACGTCCGAAAGAAAATAACGTCCACATAAAATCCTGCGAATGAACATTCATAGCAGCTTTGGCCATCCCTGCAAAACCTGGAGGCAGCCAGGATGTCTTTCAGTAGGAAATGGACAGAAAACAGAACACTGCTCAGCATAAAAGAGAAACCAACTAGGAAGCTATGAAGACATGGAGGAAACTGAAATCTGTATCAGTAAAAGGGACACGCCAATCTGGATGGGCGACGCGAATCTTAACAAGGTAAACTGCTGAGGCACCGACAGAGAGATTAGTGGTTGCCAGGGTTTAGGGGGCTAAGCAGGTTGAGGAGCCAGAGCCAGAGCGCAGGAAAGTCTTAGGTCAAGAAACTATATTGTGTGAGATACTACAGTGCCAGGCGTGGTGGCCCAGCACTCAGGAGGCTGAAGCAGGAGGATCGATGAAAGTTCGAGACCAGCTTGGGCTACATAGTGAGTTCAAGGCCAGCCTGGATTATACAATGAAATGCTGCCTTAAAAAAGAAAAAAAGAGCTTCAAAGCCACTGATTTAAAAGCTATATATTTCTCTTATCTTCTGAAACTTAAACCAATTAGTTAAAAAACAAAACAAAACTAATTAGTCTCTCCTGTTAAAAACACATTCTAACGTACCTGCTCCAACATAATTCACAGCTTTAGCAGCTCTGACGGCAGCCTCTCCAAGCTTTCTTCGTACTTCAGGCTTGATACCAGGCTATAAAAAATGATTTAATATACATTTCCATGACTATCTTGACTTAACAGGGCTGGGAATTTAACTCAGCAGCATAAACGCTTGCTTTGTAAGTGGGAGGTCATGAGTTTGATCCCCGGTACCAAAAAAAAAAGATTTAAAAAAATACAGTAGCCTTATATTTTATGTATCAAAGAACTGCAGGTGAGGTAAGGACGGCCAGGTGTGGTGGTACACCCCGGGTAATTCCAGCACTCCAGGGACTGAGGCAGGAAGATTGAGTAACTATATGAATAACTCTATCAATATGAAAACTTTCAACAGTTCCCATTTTGCTTCACGATGACAGAGAAATCTGAATCAAGAGCAAATCATTTTTTGGGATACAGGGAAACTTGGAGATTTCAAGTTAATATGCAAATTTCATAAAAAGAAATATATAAAGCAGTAAGCAAAATTCATTTTATCATTTAAAATAATGCTCTTGAAAATAGGTTTTATGGTGATTATGGGCATGCATTTCGACTGGCACAATATTCTCTGCAGCAGAAATCACATTTGGAATACGCTGTAGGAATAACAGGTTGATTCACTAAAAACCTCAGACTCCAGGTATTTTTCGAAATACATACTAAAAGGAAGAAAAAAAGATGTACCTAACCCATGGTAGTGGCAGCCCTAAAAGAAATATAAATCCACTCAGGAGGCTGAGGCAGGAAGATCACAGTGAGTTCAAGCCCAGCCTGAACTACACGGTGAGACCCTGTCTCAAAAAAAAAAAAAAAAAAAACATATAAATCAAAAACAGATCATCCATAACCCAGTTAACAAATCAATTAAGTGAAAACTCAAAGAAATGTTAGCCATTAACGTTAGAGGGCAAAAATAAGAGGGACTCTCTTTCGGCCCCATCACACTCATTAACGCGCGGAAATGACCAACTAACGTATTTCAGAAGCAGCAGAAAGAAATAGCCATAAAGAATCCTCTCTGTAAGAAACCCATCTAATTAACAGATCGCCGTTCCCTTCCTTAGGATTAAGAATGTGGGTGGCACTCATTCCCCAGCGTGGCCGCCTGTGGGGCGCTGCTGGGCCCACGGGGGAGCACCCGCGCGAGCACCCCCTTACCGCGGGGGCCTCCTCGATGACCTTCTGGTGCCGCCTCTGCACGCTGCAGTCCCGCTCAAACAGGTACACGGCGTTGCCATGGTGATCGCCGAACACCTGGACTTCCACGTGCCTGTAAAAGCAGACGCGCGCCTGTTGGTCTCCGCTGAGGGCTGGCTATCCGTGTCCGGGAGACCTCCATCCTCACTTACTTTTTAAAGTAAGATCTGATATTTTGACCTCTGAACAGAGGTTACAGATGTAGCAAGGGGTCTATAACCTTGCAAACAACTCAGTGAAACAGTTTCCGTTTGTGTGATAACCATTAAAGCAACCGGGAGGCTGAGGCAGGAGCGTCACAAGTTGGAGTCCAGCCTGGCAAATTTGTTCCATCTTACAAAGACCCTGTCACAAACTAAAAAAAGAAAAAGGAAGGAGGGATGTGCCTTGCTGAGAAAGCCCCAGGTCTAATGCCCAGTGCCACTAAATAAGTAAATAAACTCAAACTGTAGTCATGTTTCATATATCTCAAAAAGCCAGTGAAAACTTTCCACGACTAGTTTTCCGTTTTTCTGTTTGGTTGTTTTTTGTTTTTTGAGACAGAATCTTGCTATGACGTTCAGGCTGGCCTGGAACTCACTGTGTAGCCCAGGCTGGCTTCAAACTCGGAGCGCTCCTCTTGCCTCAGCCTCCTGAGTGTGCCACCACGCCTGCATCCATGACCAGCTTCCTCTTACACTCATTCAGTCAGAGTTTATAAACCATTAGAAGACCGAAATAAAAATGGCTCACCACAAGTGGCTTAAGAAATAAGGAAGGCAGGCATGGCAGCACACACTTGTAATTCCAGCACCCGAGAGGCTGAGGCAGGAGCTTGCCATGAGTTAGAGGCCAGCCTGGTTACATAACAGACAGCCCGAACCACAGAGAGATCCTGTTTGGAGAGAGGGAGAGAGAGAGAGAGAATTCTTAGCAGGTTTACTGTATTTTGTTCATTCACATATTCACCACCATAACAGAGAAATGAGTGATTGGCAATTTTGTTTTCTGTTGCCCAGGTTAGGCTAGAACTCGAAATCCTCCTGCCTCAAGCTCCCAGAGGGCTGGGGTTACAAGTCTGTGGCCCCATCCCTGGTTTTATTGATTTCTTTTAAAAAAAATTTCAAACACAGATGAGAGTGGGGGAAATAAAGCCTTAGTTAAGTGAAATAAATCATACACACGAGCTTAAATATCACATGGTTTCTCTTAGATGAGAAACCCAGAGTAAAAATGAAGAGCAAACTAAAGGGCAGATAAAAGGAAGTAGGGGACAGACTGTTCTCAGAGGGGAGGAAGGTCAAGGGCTGGAGGGCAGGGCGAGAAGGGAATGAAAAGAAACTGGGCTGTGTTGGGTGCACATACTGACTGCACATGGGGATGGAAGCATCATGTACTGCGGAGAGGCTACAAGTATTCAGGAGGCTGCGGCAGGGGGTTGGTGTGTGCCTGAGGTCAGCCCAAACTACACAGCGAGACCATGTCTCAAACAAACAAACAAACAAAAGACAAAGCCAGTGTAGAGATGGGGGAGAGCAGGGAGGGTGAAAAGGAGTGAAGATGCATTACAGATACGCATCCATTTCCCATGAGGAACATAATCTGCTATGCTGCAAACACGTATGTACCAATAACCAAAAAAGGTCACCAAGCTTGGTAAAAGCCTTGTCAAGGTGCAGTGTCAGCGCAGTGAGCCGTTCTTCCTCACTTTGGTTTACTTCCTGAAGCTCCTCATTTAGCTACTTGGAAGAATTTATTGTCCTCATCTATCACCCTTCCTAAATGTTCCACTATTTAATTTTACAACCCAGTTAACACATTCTCTTGACAGAAATACCTGCAGCTGGTTTTTTTCCTTTCCTTTTCCTTTTTTGATTTCTTGCCTTACTGATATTTCCTCTTCATTTACTCTGTCCCAAAGACGTAATCACCAAATACACAAAACTACTACCGTTGCTGCCGCGTTCTTGGTGTGTGTGTGTGTGTGTGTGTGTGTGTGTGTGTGTAGCACGTACTGTGCAATCCTAGAGGTGGGCCCCAGGGGATCCTGCACACGCTAAGCACACGCACTAGCTCTCATGTCCTGATCCCTGCTGCTACTATTAGTTCAATTTAGACTAAGGAAAAGGGACTTTAGCTTACCGACACTCACTCCCTCTCTGCTTGTCTTTCTCTATGTAAACCTCAGTTTCCATCCTTGGAAAAATTTGTGTTACTGTTTCCTGCAAGGCAGATCTACTGGCAACAATTTCCCTCAATTTTTGTTTTCCTGATAAAGTCCTTTTAAAGGATGATTTTGTGGGATATATAAGTGTGGGTTTCTCTCACGCTTCCCATTTCACTGTATTCTTCTTGCTTACATGTTTTCTCATGAGATTTTTTATCTTTGATCTTTCGTAGTTAACACTTCCCATAGCTGCCTATTGGTCTTTACTTCCTGTAGTCTGAATATGAGGTGCACAGGGGTGTGCGTGTGTGTGTGCACGCATGTGTGTGCATGTGTGTGCATGTGCGTGTGAGGAGTGGGGACTGAACTGGAGCCTCGTGCATGCTCACCAAAGCCCTTACCAGAGCTTTGCTCTGCCCACACAGCGGGAGGTATTTTATCCTGTTTGGCATCCTCCTTTGAGATTCCTAGCTCTATATCTTTTCTGTCATTAATTTGGGAAGATTGCTGGCCATAATGATTTCAAATATTTCTCTTGCTCCTTTTCCTGTTCTTCTTGTGGCATCCAAATAAGATGCTACGTTTTGTTTAAGTTTTTCGAGACAGGCCTCATTGCTATGCAGTTCAGGCTGGCCCTGAACTCACTACGTAATCTAGACTCCTCAGCTTCTGGAGGGCTGGGATTCCAGAAGTGCCACCCGGCCATGTTACCCTTCTTATGCTGCCCCACAATTCTTGGATATTCTGTTTTGATTTTTTTCTTTCATTTTTAAAAATATTTCTCTTTGCATTTCAGTTTGGGAAATTTTTATCAACAGATTTTCAAGGTCACTGACTCTTTCCTTGGCTGTCTCTAGACAAGGATGCTAATGAACCCATTCAAAATATTCATTTCTCTTACAATGTTTCTGACTGTTAGCATATTTCTTTTAAGGCAGGGTCTCATTGTGTAGCCCAGGTTGGCCTCAAACTCAAGGCTTCCTCCTGTCTCAGTCTCCTGGGTGTTGGGATTATGGGCATGTGCCACCAAACCTGGCTGATTTCTAGCATATTACAAAACTAATTTTTTCTCTACTTACATTATCTATTTGTTTTCTGCATGTTTGTTTGTTTTCGTATCAGTGGGAATCAAACGGTAAGCACTCTATCAGTCATCTACGCTTCCTCCCCTCATCAATTCTTGAGTCTTATGCACTTGACCCATTAAAACCTTTAAGGTTATTTTAAATTCCCTATTTAATCATTCTAAATTTGTCATTTCAGGTGCATATTATGATTTAGGTACTTATGTTTCTTCAAACTGTTGTTTCTAGAACACTCACATCTCTTAGATATATATTTATTAAAAGTAAATTTCAAGTTGGACATGGTGGAGCATGCCTGTAAATCCCAGCATTCAGGAGGCTGAGGCAAGAGGGTTTCTACAAGTTGAAGGCCAGCATGGTCTACACAGTGAGCTCAAGTCTGAACTACATAGTGAGACCCTGTCTCAAAAAAAAAAAAAAAAGAAAGAAAAAGAAAAAGAAAAATTAAATTTCATTTACTGTGTCCTGTACAGGTATAGTTCCACATTTTTTGAGCTCCGAAACAAAACAGTTTTGGCCCTTTAAGGACAATACAAAATTACATGTGCCAAATTCAGCAGAGCCTTGGAAGAGTCTAAAGCTTCCTATGAAGGGGGCAGATTTGAGGGACATAAACAAACACCCACGGCAAAAAAAGCTGGCTGACGACCCCTGCACGCTTACTGTGTCCTATGTACTTGAAAAAATGTGCCCTACTCTCTCCTTATGACAGTGTCACTCCATTCACTTATGCTGACCCTGTCCCCTTCCCAGAAACAAAGCCCAAGACCCTGACTGGCCTGGACCGTGGATGAGTGCAACAGTTACCTTTAGAAACCAGCACGGTCCCCTGCACTACTGCCACAAAAATCTACGAAATAGAAACTCTGTAATCATTTCTTTCCATCATAAACATGAAAACAGAATTCCAAATTGGGCGTGGTGGCACGTGCCTATAATCCTGGCACTCAGTAAACTGAAGCAGGAGGATTTCGGTGAGTTAGAGGTCAGTCCAGACTGCATAGTGAGTTCAAGGTTTGCCTAGACTATATATTGAAACCCTGTCTCAAAAAGAAAAAAAATCTAAAAATAGAATTCCAGTAACAACAACAAAAGAAAGTTCTCAAATCCTTGTGGCTTTTGCTGGCCCGTGCAGACGCAGGTCAGCGCGGTGTTTTAAAGCATGAACTCAAGGAGAAGTGTCTCATTGAGTCCTAGTTTTACCACTTTGAGGCTGGGTGAGAGCAGACAAGTAGCATGACCACTCTGTTGCTTTCTATCCTCACTCACAAAACAGGGAAAATACTGCCTGCCTAACAGGGTTCCTGGGAGTACAGGAAGGCTACTTAGAATGTATAAAACACTTAGAATTTGACCCATGGAAAGCACGTCAGTGTTAGCTGATTACTGACAGTGTTAGCATTGTTACTGACATATCACGTATAATTCAGTTCGGGTAACTTCTTTTGTTTTCTGAGCACCTCAACTGACACTCATAGAGTTCTATAAGTAATCCATTTTATTTTTGGCTTTTTGAGACAGGGTCTCTCTATGCACTTCAGGCTGGCCCTGAGTTCAATTTATAACCCAGTCTGGCCTTGAACTTGCAACAATCCTCCTGCCTCAGCCTCCCAGCTGCTGGGATTATAGGTGTGCATCACCACAACCAGCTAATAGTTTAATTTATCACAAGAAGTTTTTCAGCTTCATATGGTGGCATATGCCTCTAATCCAAGTACTGTGGGAGACTGAGGCAGAAAGCCTGCAAGTTTGAACCTAGCCTGGGCAGCTCAGTGACTTAGCAAGACTATGTCTCAAAATAAAACATTTAAAAAGGTGCTGGGATATTACCTCAGTGTGAAGGCTCTGGGTTCAATCTCCAATATGTAAATAAGTAAATTCTTTTGTATTGAAAACTCTAAATTTTATCAATAAGAAACATTGAACAGGGTTATTGGTATATTGGCATCACAGAACCATTAAGCCACTAATAAAAAGGATGCAGCAGATCTGGGCATGGAAAGATACGTACACTGTGTTAGCATATGGTATAACAGTCATATATAACAGTATACTTGTTCCTGCACTTTTGCATGTATTTTGTTGCCTGTGTGTGTAGACATATATTCGGATTCACACAGAAAATGGTTGGAAGAAGATGTACAATCCTATAATCAGTGGTCACATCAGAGCCTGGGACTGGGGAATTTAATCGGCATATGCACCATTGGAATTTTATGTTTTTTTTTTTTTTTTTTTTTTTTTTTTTGTCTTTTTCGTTTTTATCGGTACCGGGGATCGAACTCACGACTGCCTGCTTGCAAGGCAGGTGCTTATGCCGCTGAGCTAAATCCCCAGCCCCGGAATTTTATGTTTTATGGAGCATGCATGCATTACTTTCACAGTTCAATTTTTTAAAAACTGAGTCTAGGACAAAACACTCAGTTCACCTTGGTGTGTCCACAAACTTCTCGATCAGCATAGCATCATCATTGAAAGCCTTCTTAGCTTCTCTCCGCGCAGATTCTAATTGTTCTTGAAATTCCTTTTCTGAGCTAACAATCCTCATTCCCTAAGAGAGAGAAGATGGTTACAATTACAACATAAACACAGGCTGGGCTCGGTGGCACACGCCTGTAATTCTCAGCATCCGGGAGGCTGAGGCAGGTGGATGGCTGTGAGTTCAAGGCCAAGCTTGGGTTACAGAGTGACTACAAGGCATCTTGAACTGCACAGTGAGACCCTTGTCTCAAAAACAAAACACAACACACAGACTAGTCTGAAAAGCACATGTCCCACCACGCTTACCTTTCCTCCTCCGCCTCGGATGGCTTTAATCATGACGGGATAGCCGATCCTCCCTGCATGCTCACGCAGGCACTGGTCGGACTGGTCCTCACCATGGTAACCTTCCACAACAGGTACCCCAGCCTTGGCCATGAGGGCTTTGGACGTGCTGCGGAGCAGAAACCCAAGAGGCCCCAATTCTACAGGTTCCTTTATTCGAGAGAAACACAGATATAGTCCAGTGCACAAATTACAGGGGAGCTGTTTAAAGGTTGACGGTAGAGAAAGGACCAGTATTGGACGCAATATTAATACACATACTGAAATATCTACTGGTCACTTTTCATTTCGTGTGGTAGTTCATGCTACCTAACTTTTGTCCAAAACACTAATTAGTATATTGCATAGAAACAGTAATTACTTTTTTTTTTTGTCTTGGCATTGTTTTTTGAGACAGGGTCTCAAAATGTAGTCCAGGCTGGCCTTGAACTCACTGTGTACCAACGGCAGCCTCAGACTCACAGTGATCCTCCTGCCTCAGCTGCCTGCGTGCTGGGATCACAGGTGTGCACCACCACACCTGGCTACCAATTACTATTACAGCATTAATTACTATTACATTATTATAATTGAACACTTTCTATGATTCAATGGAGTTATTTCACATGGCAGGTAAGGAAGCCACGCCCACAATAAGAAGGTAAAAGAAATGACAGGTAAGAGAGCTACTCCAATTGACTTCATGTAGTTATATTTAAAAAGATCAAAACTAATACCTCTTTATACCCATGTCTCTGATTGCCGATGAAGGAGGACCTATAAAAATAATTCCTTCTTGTTTACAAAGTTCGGCAAATTCCGTATTTTCTGAAAGAAAGCCATATCCTGGATGGATAGCCTAGGAGTAGGAAATAAAATGACAAACTGAATGAGTTCTTAACAGACAAAGCTTTGTTTCTCCAGGGAAGGCCCTCCCTACACTGCAGTCAGGTACACTAAGGCTCCTATCAAAATCTTCTTCTAAAGAGAAGTCTGGGACCCCCAAAATGAAGTTGGGAACCCTTACTAAACCAGAAGAACTCGTCTTTTTTGTTGTTGTTCTGTAGACTGAACCCAGGCTTATTAGGTACAAACTCTACCACTAAGCTATGTATACCCCCAGCACTTGTATTTCTTTCTGTTGTGGTTTTATATATATATATCTACCTACCATTTATCATTTAATCCTTTTTGGGGTTTTCTTTGGTATTTGTGTGTGTGTGTGTGTGTGTGTGTGTGTGTGTGTGTGTGAGATAGAGTCTCTCTATGCAGTTTATGCTGGCCTTGAACTCACTATGCAGCCAAAGGAAGCCTCAAAGGAAGCCTCAAACTCACGGAACCCTCCTGCCTCAGCAGCCTGAGTGCTGGGATTACAGGCGTGCGCCACCACGCCTGGCTACCTTAAATATACAGTACAGGGGTTTTCAGTACATTCCTAAATGCCATGCAGCCATCACCACCCCCATCTCCAAAATGTTTTATCATCTCCAGCATAACTTGCATTCCCCTTCTTCTCTAGTCCCTATTTCATAAATGAAATCATAAAATATTTATCCCTCTAGATTCAGCTTATTTCACTTAGCATAGTGGTTTTAAAGTTCGTCCACACTGTAGAAGGTATTAGAATTTCACTCCTATTTAAGGCTGAATGATAGTCCACGGTATGTGCAGTCCACATTTCGTTTATTTACTTGCCTGTTGATGAACATGTGAGTTACTTCAGCCTCTTACCTACCATGAATAATGGTGCTATGAACAGTGAGGTCAGGTATCTGAGTCCCTCTTTAAACTCTGTTAGGTGTACATTTGAATGGTTGGGTGATACGGCATAGAACAACTGTATTTTAATTTAAAGGAATATCGCTATTAGGGCAAAATGTCAACGAGCAAAGAGCTTTGCAGAGATAAGGGTGCTGTTCATTCTCTCTACCTGAAACCGGCCTAGAATTGAAATCACAGTATCCAAAAGCGAGAAAGAACACTCCAGCACAATAGTACCTCTTCTAGCCTCAAGCCACTATTTGCCAATGTTCTTTAAAAAAAAAAAAAAAAAAAAAACTTTTAAAAAATACAGCAAACAAAAAGCCATGTCTTACAGTCTATATATGCTGGGTGTGGTGGCATATGCATGCAGTCCCACATTTGGGAGGCTGAGGCAGGAGAACAATTTTGAGGTCAGGCTAGACTATGTAGTGAGTTCAAGGCTCGGCTGAACTGCACGTGAGACCTTGTCTCAAAAATAAATAAATAAGGGGCTGGGGATTTAGCTCAGCGGCATAAGCACCTGCCTTGCAAGCAAGCGGTCGTGAGTTCGATCCCCAGTACTGATACAAAGAAAAAAAAAAGTGTAAAAATAAATAAATAAGTTACTCAAATTAAGTAAACACCATGTACACTTTAGTGTAGCATTGGCAAACCTATGGCACACATGCCACAGGGAGCTGTTTATATCATTGAGAGCTCTAAAAATCTCACCATCAGTGCTTCAGTGTTTTGGCATAGCTGATGTTTTTGCATGATGCACAGTGTAAGAATCAGTCCCCAGTTGACAAGCCATTCTGTCTCTGCACTTCCTGCTTGCTTATCCCATATAAGCCCCAGATTACCAGAGATCAGCATCTGACATTCTAAGGAACAACTGATTCCTAGTCAGTGCCCATCCAACATTAAGTATTTTTATATTTATTTTATTTTAAGGATAGTAAAATACAACAAAACAAGACAGAACAAAGCCAATCAAAACAATGCAGTGAAACTGGTACAGAATTTCAGAGTAGGATATCAGTATAACAGAAATAGGTACCCTGTTATATCTCTTTATCTTCACAATAGTTGTCCATTCAGTCAGGTACAGCAAAATCAAACCAAAAGCAGAACATTATAAAACCAATCAAAACAGAATACTGAATAGAGCAAAACAATTAACCAGAACAAAGCAAAACAGTGAAAACAATATTTGCCTTCAAAGACAAGACAGAAGGAAATCCCCCGTATTTGCTATATTGCATACGGTCATCCTCCAGGAGATGCTCACACCTCTGGCCCCAGGTCAGCATAATCAACCAAACAATACAAGTATTCCATTGCTTTACGTGTCTTAGTTGCTATCAACTCAGGCTGACCTTGGAACCATCCAGCTGTTAAGGGTGGCGGGGACAGAACTTTTCATTTTCAGCCTATGCACTGGTAGGCTCACAGGAGAGACTGACTTTTCTTTCCCTGGCATACCCACAGCTCTCACCACTTACCAGGAAGGCTGGTTCATTGTTTCTTGGTTGGTCTCTCAAGTCCCAGCATGGCTAATTCTCAGGAGACACTGACTTTTCTCTCTGCTTGGCATGTCTGTGGCTCGTGCCACTTACCTATCAACATTAAATAAATCTGCTTCCAAATTCTGGGTGTGGTTTCAGAGTTTCTGCTTGCAGTTGCATGTGGCATCAGCCAGAAAGATCATCTATGCTAAACTTTTTGTTCACCCATCATGGCCCTTGCAGATGGAACAAGGATCTAAGTTCTGATAGAACGTGTGCCCTTGAGATTTCTTGAATTCCACTGGAGGGATGGAGGAGGATTCCTGGCTCCCCACTTGAGCAGCTCACATCAGACCCCAAAAGGAAGAAGACACAGTTTGTCTGTCTGCCTGCTCAATTCTGGTAATAGTCCTGGGAGTACCCCAGTTTATTTGTCAGTCCTGCTTAGCTCAAACAGGAGAGTTGGATCAACTCCCATTAGTCAGGAACATCCTCAAGGGAAGGGAGTTGGAACGTTTAACATCTTGAGTGCCTGTTTAATGAATGCATGAGTGAGTGGAATGGACAGCATAAGCAACAGGCTGCTCTGTCTGTGCACCAAGACTGGTTGCAGTGGCTGATTGGGTGCTCACCTGCGGTTCCATGGCAATCACATATGGCACAACAGAGGCCTCACACCCTCCTTAGCTAAGTCGCACCTAAGTCCCTTCAAGGGGTGAAGACGGGCAAGCAACTGAATGGTCTCTTTCTGCAGAGCACCCATCTTTTGTCTGTTGCACTATTGTTCAAGGATACACAATACATATGTAGGAAGTCAGAGATGGGAATCAATTAGCCAAAACCCACAGTCCTTGACTGCAAGAAAAAGGGCTTTTATGGAACTAAAAATGAAACCAAACCACTCCCTGCATCTCAAAAAAGAAAAAAGAGGCCCATTCTTCCTGAGAATTCTGCCTTGGCACCTTGTTGGCCACCACAGTTGCTACTAAAATCTAAAGCTTCACTCTCTGCTCCCAACGTTTCTACTTCCAGTCAGCTGAACTGGCTCCAGCTTCCCTTGCCTGCGTTCAGCCGCAGAGGCCTCCCTCCAAAGCCCCCTGCTTCTGCCCCAGTCGATGGCATCACCTAACGCCTACCCCAGATGGCCATCAGCAATTCCATCTGAGGTCCACACCTGACTGAGGAAAAACTGGACTGTCAGCCCAACTGAATGAGTTGCCATGGCCTTTCCAAACCAACAACACCCCCAACTAACAACAATTCAGTCAAGTGCTTCTCAAAGACGTCAAAAAGGGGGACAAAAAGTCCATCAACCACTGTTACCCAGAAACCTGATTTAAAAAAAAAAAGCACCTGATGTCTATAAGAAAATCTAGTCTCATAGATGACCATACCCTCTTGCTACAAGTTATGAGGGCTACGGACATAACAAATAAATGTGCCCTCTACCTTCCAGACCAAAAAAAAAGCCTGACTATCCAGGCTCATCTCAAGCTGGACCTCTCCTTGCCCTGTCAGGCCTGAATGAATAGGGAAGACTGAACTCTATCAGATTGGGCCCCTGAGAGCCCATGGTTATTACAAAAGTTGGGAGCAAACCTGTGACTTTCCTGGTAGACAATGAAACAGAACTTTCTGCCTTCAAAATTTCCCTTCATCAAAAATTTATCATCACCAGGACAACTGGGATTCTAACCTCTCACCCTTTCTGTCAGGCACAAGCTTGCAGCCTGGGAAGACATCTCACCAGACATGAATTCCTGTGTAAGCCAGTCCCCAAAACACTTCTGAGAAGAGCTGGGTGTGGTGGCACATGCCTGTAACCCCAGCACTTGGGAGGCTGAGGCAAGAGAATCACTGTGAGACCAAGGCCAGCCTGGGCTACAAAGTGAGTTCAAGCCCAGCCTGAACTGCATAATGAAACTCTATTTCAGGGGCTGGGGATTTAGCTCAGAGGCATAAGCGCCTGCCTTGCAAGCAGGCAGTAGTGAGTTCGATCCCTGGTACCGATAAAAACGAAAAAGACAAAAAAAAAAGAAACTCTATTTCAAAAAAGATTTTAAAAAATATACAGAGTTCACCACTTCTGGGAAAGGACATCCTCTTCAGGTTAGAAGCAGCTGTCTCCTTTGTACCAAGCCAATCAGCCTCTCTCTTGTTTAACCCTGAACTTTCAACTTGACTGCTCCCCAAGAGGAAGGGGATGTTTGCATCAGTCTGAGACAGATAACTGCAGTCCTGAAATTCTGAAAACTCCCCTCCCAGAGGTATGAGCTGAAGATTCACCTCTGTGTCTGGCCATCAACTGTGCCACCTCACCGTATCCCCCACCACTGCCAGCTGTCACAGGAAGCACAGGTATGTACCACACGTCAGACTGGTAATCACCTCAGGCAAGATCTCCATGCCATCAACAATGTAGACGTTACCTTGCACTGTGTGGTTCCCAACCTATACATCCTTTTTGGAATGCTATTCAATTGCCACAAGGGTTTGGGAACTCTCCCACTATTTTGCACTAGCAAAAGATTTGGCTCCGGACAACCTGTTTCTCTGTCCCTCCAGCTACATCACAGTCCCCAGAGAAAGATAAAAAAAAAAAATGAGA